CTATTATATCCATATTCCCCACATACTAAGCCCCAGTAAGTCGAGGGTATTTCGGCCGAGTCGCAACTAACACAGTTGAGAACGTGCAATGCTTCAGCCAAATTTTCCAGAAGTTCGTCGTACTGGCCGCTGAGATTGTAGCGGCAGGTCATCAGGTAGACGGCCTCGGGTTACAAAATTTGGGAAGGGCTTAGGGCAGGCTTGGGGTTAATTTATAATAGGGTGCGGCTCAGGCGCAGCCTCCAGAATGTTGCCCTCTGGAACTCCGGCACCAAAGTCTTGACCAACAAAGCCGAAAGGCGATTGCCGGCTCGTGGCCAGTTGTCCAGTGTGTGGAATTTCTGGTGCAAAGGCGTCCGCCTTAGATGTGTTAGGGTTTAGGGTTTAGGGTTTGGGGTTTAGGGTCCATGTCAGGCGCTTAATCAATGCCAGGCGGCTCAGCCCATGTCAAGGAGCTGGCAAACTCCAGCCAACGCCGCAGTTCACTGCGCTCGTTGGCCTTCTGGATGATCTCTGAGCTTCGGTGCATCCTGTACTCGAGGACAGAAAACACCTGCGAGGGTCAATGATTATTGGTTTAGACTTTAGGGTTTAGGGAACCAATGTTATTTTGGAAATGCCATTGATGCCTCGACGCGAGCTGACCTGCTGCTGAGAGAGCGACTCCAGCGGTACAGCTCGGCCATCGAGACGTTGATTCCAGGAACGGGCAAAGCAGCCATTGCGGGCCAAAAACTTTTCCCGAACTTCTTTACGCCTTCAAAGGCCGGTACTTCAAGCTGCCATAGGGACTTTCATAAACCCCCAACATTTTATAGGAGTGGTATGGAAAGCCTGTAGCAGACTGCCCACCTGTAAACTACCCACCTGCAATGGGCTTCTATTTGCCACTGCAAGTTCCTAAGGAAGTTCCCAAACTTGTAAGTCGAGTTCTGGGACTTATACATGATGGAGATAGATTCCCTTGAAGAATTTTGACAAGTCCAGCCAAAGAGGGTAAATTAGAAAGCGCAGAGCCAAAACTTTACCGGACACAGGCAATGACTTTCAAGGCGCCATCTTCAGGGCCTTCAGCAGATTTGTAGGCTCCACTCGGCTTTCTGCTGCCAGCATGAACTTGTCTGCCTTCTGCTGGGCGGTGTGCAAAGCTAGATGTCAGCCCTGGTGCAAGTTGCGGCAATGATAAAGAACAAACCCCGCGTACGAATTTTAGCCCTAGCAAGGACAACTCGATCAGTTCACCCAATTGCAAGCAAAGCCAAGGCTGGGTCCATCCAACAAGCTGCGGCGCTGCGCTGCTTCAGCTGCCTTTGCCCCGGGCAGGCTTGGCTTATATTGTGGAAGGCTTGCGGTGTCCTGTGTACATGCCTAGAAGGATTTATTTACAAAAACCATCATCATGTATGCATCTTAATGTTGGTGCACCCCGAATGCATGACTCGTGTCATGTGAACCGGTATTTTTTTGTAGGCAAGGTTTCAGTCAAAACGCCGCTGATTAAGTGGCAGAGGCCGCTGAACAAGTGGCAAACTCAGGCCTCTACTGACTCTACTGACTCTGACGCATACAAGGTTCTACATCAGCTAGGCCTCTACTCAAAGCTCCAATCAGTTACTCTGCCACTTAATCAGCGGCATCAGCGGCAGAGGACTCAATGAAGTAATTCCAACTTCGGGCCACCTTGACTAATTCCGGACCACAAGAGCCCAGACACAATTTCATTCTGGCAGGTCTCCAAGAGCCCGGCCGCGCGTAGCAGGTTTCCCGCCTGCATTGCGACAGGGCTGAGAGGGTTAATTGGGTGTCACCGCGCTGGGGATGTCTCCGTGCCCTAGAGACATATTGCAATAAGTTGTGTAGAACTGCAATTAGTTGCTCCCAAACCCCGGTCCTATCTAGGTTTTCCTGCGTCCGCTACTGATTCGAAACCTTGCCCCGGAGCTACTTAATGCCAATCAGTTGCTAAGATTCAGGTAGGCTATATGGTCTGCAATTAGCTTGGCCGACATGCGCGGAGTGAAGCTTTGAATAGCGCACATCCTTTTTGTTGCACGCTGCCTTTCGCCCCGTGGCATGCGTTGGATCATTCCCTCTCCGAGCAACTGTCTGTCCTGAAGTCAGTGTTCTTTATGACTCCAACGGGCTACATTAATTAAGAGTGGATGCTACAAACCTTGCAGGACCTCAAGTTTGTAACCTTGGCACTATTACTAGAAAATTGCCGAAATACCAAGGTTACGCAGGATTTCCTATCCTAATAGTGAACACTGAAGACTTCAGTCACTACTACCTGAGACGGCTTCAGGGAGAACATTATTTTCTCCTTTCACACACATCATCAAAACTGCTGGCACTGCGATTTCTGCACTTCCTCAGCACTTCCTGGGCCCCAAAGTAAGGGGTTCAGGTTGAAGGCTCTAATGGGAGGCAGTGGGGTAATGCCTCTGCATCACTTCAAGAGCGAAGGACACCGGGTAGATCTGGGAAAGCTTGAGGGCCCGGGCATTCCCTGTGACCTGCTTCTTGCCATCCTTCACCTTGACCGTGGCCAACTTGTCTGTGGCCACATCATCGGCCTTCTTTGGCCGCGAAACTCTGGCCTTTGCTTTGGCCGTTGCTCTGGCCTTTGCTTTGGCCTTTGGCTTCGTGGCTCCTTTGCTTGAAGCTTTGAGCTTCCCCGGCGCTCTGGGCTTGGCTGCCGCATTCTTCCTCGAGCCCCTCTGCTTGGCCTTGTTGCTGAGCTCCTGTCCCACGTGTGTGAGCCAGGAGGCGGTCCCCACCAACACTGTGGCCTTCTTTGATGAATGGCCCCAGTCCTTCAGGCGCAGCCAACGCTGAAAAGGATTGGCCTCAGCAATCACTGCGCGAAGGATTTTCGTGTGGAAGAACAAGGACGAGGACGGTTGTTCGATGACATAGAAGATTCCAGCAAGAGCGCACAACGAAGCCAAGAGGGCTGTGACGCGGTTGACGTAATTTCCCTCCTGCACTGTTGGGATAGTCAAATCACCGTCTGGATCCAGTGCGGAGCGTTTGGTAACACTCCTGCATAACCAAACCCAACTTGAACATTGAGGACCCATAAAGCAGAGGCCCCCCCTGTAAACTCGCAACAGGGTGGCAATGATGCATGCCAGTCCCTCGTCTTCCGTTACGTCCAGGTGGGGACTGTGATCTCGGTCCACGCAAGCAACTCGCAATCCCAATAGTTCGCCCCATCGCGCGAGGCGCGATTTTCCGGAAAAGGCATCAAGGAGGTGAAGGTTTCTGATCACGACGAGGGGCATGTCCACGCAGTGTAAGATCTCCTTCACACTCATAGGAATCATGTTCATGATCTCTGCTGGCACAGTCCACGCGTACTCTTTTAAGGAAGGATCCAAACCACCAGAAGCCGGATGGGACCAGTCCGCGTGCAGGACTCGGGGGTACCTCTTTGCGGGCACTACATTATATAACTACGCGCCGCAATACCCTCATGCACAAGTACATTTCTGTCCCGCCCGTGGCCTCCACGCAGAGGCTCGCTCCACCAAAGTCTCCCTCTCGAAGTCGGGGAAGTCCGGCGCAGAAAGCACCAAACAAAAGAAGTTAGCCAGCATCAAAATCATTATAGCATTCGCCATCTGGCGCGGTCGAGCTGATGGTCTCACAGATTACCAGACCCAAACAGACAAGAAATGCAAAACCGCCAATGAGCATTCAGGGCCTTCACATCAACGCAAGCGAAAGTACCGCCTTACTAAGCAATTCTAGATTCGTCCAACTTATCCACGCTCCTTGACCAAAATGCTGAGAAAATCACAGACTGGCCGGATCAGCAATGAGACTGGGCAAGAGACTGTCACTGCCGTTCCTGTTCCTGTGCCCTATAAGACTGATGTCCCGCGGCCATACGCGCAAAGACAAATGCAGCCTACAAGGTATGACCGCAATCCTGACCCCTCTTGACCTCTGGCCCCCGACCTTTCCAACTTGACATAGGAGGACTGCTTAAACCTGATTTACGTGAGGAGAAATACAATCGACCATCTCAATACCTTAGGAAAATCTGCGCGCAATTACTCCAAGCCACTTAAGCAGCGGGGCAAGCCACTTTAGCAGCGGCGCATTATTGAGGGCAATGAAATATACTCCTGCCACTTGCGGGCCTCTGGTAGGTCATCACTCATCTTCTCCAACCTGGCAACGTTGCGGCTCATGTGAACTGGAAAGATTCGCACTTCAAGCGTTGAGCTACTGTCATGACACCAGTGCTACTCTCGGAAAACAGCAGTGTGGAGTGACCTACTTGCAGCGCAACCTTACTTATAATAATGCGAAGGTATCACGGTAGCAGCATTACTTTTGGACGCCCGAAGAGGCACAAGCGCGTGATGATTCTTTCGTCCACAGATTCCCCAAGCCCAGGGGACGGCAATGGCGCCGTCTTTCCCTGGGAACTGTTCTTGCGGATTTGGAAGTCAGCTGCTCGCGCGCCAAAACTGCTAGGGGTGCATGCTGTTAAGCTTTATTCGGCAAAGTAAATGATCAAATTGTCGCTCAGACTGACTTTTTTCAGGTCAAGGCATCCCAGACCCCTGGGCGAATCTAGAAGGAGAACCCCCTTAAAGCTCACTAGACATTTTAAATCTAGTATTTGGTAATCCTATTCGGGGCTCCACTTTTAGATCCTCCCAGAGGTCTGGGAAAATACACTGAGACTCGTATTGCTTTCTACAGAAGAACCCGATGGAGCTTGACGCGCTGCTCTGCTGCTGCTTCCGAAAACAGACAATGCCTCCCCTGCCTGAAATTGGACCCAAGGGCTCAGCGGCTCAGATTTCTACCACGCTTGCAAGAGTGCTTGTGAAGCTTGTCAAGTTAAAGTAAAGTTACTCTAGTCTGTTTCCAAAACACCAGCCACCAGCCCGGGGTCACATCAAAAGGCAAAACTCGTGTGCCCTTCCACACCTCCATCAAGATCACTTGCGGTTGTCTCTGACTGCTGCTTGCGGCAATCACTTTCCCCACGCCTTCAGCAGATCAGCAACAGACTCAGCGGGCTTCTCGGGGGGCGCAGCTTTGGATGCAGGCGGAACCAAAGCAGGCGGAGCAGGCGGAGCAGGCGCCGGATTCTTCGGCTTGGGCTCCGTCTTCGGTTTAGGGGCCGCATCTGTGCGCTGCCGCTTCGCCGGTGGCAAGGTAGAGCCGGTCTGCAGTGCGTCCAGCGCGGCATTCATGGACTTCTCAAAGGTGGCCTTGCCAGCGCCTGCCAGAGGCGGCTGAACCTCTGCCACCAGGCCCTTGCGCGCCTCATGCAACAACAATCTGTTGGGCTTCAGGGCCTGCACCTTCTCGCCCTTGTCTAGGGGCGCAAACCCCGAAGCGTCCGCTTCGCAGAGCAACTGAGCACAAACCTTAGGCCAACACACAAAATGAGAACACAATGTGAGACGTGAAGCTCTATTATTACTTCCAACCTCTGACCGAGGCCTCACTTTATGAAAGACACTTAGTCAGCGTCTGGGCCAAGAATAATTCAAGTCACCATCTTACTGACGACTTCTGGCCAGGCTTTACTTTACGAAAGTGGGGCAATTATTCAGATAATAAAATTCCCATCTCAGTCACAACCTCGCGCCAGCGCCTCACTTTTGATGAAAGACTCTGAGCGTCGCTTGCCCCATCATGCCTGTTCTGGATAAAATTTAATAATAGGTCGAGAGACTTTCGGGTGCAACTCCATGTGGAAGAGCACGACGTTGCCATCAGCATCGGTGGTGCCCGCCAAGGGATCCTCCTCATCTCCAGCCTCCTCCTCCTCATCGCTGCCCGCCGCCGCAGGCGCCGGAGCCTCAGCAGCTGCGGAGGCAGCAGCACTACCGCCTGCAGCGGCGAGCTTTCGCCCAAGTCCCGGGGTCCACTTGTCGGTCCCCACCACATTGCGCAGGATCGCTTCCCGTTCTTTGCTTGGGACTTTCATCATGGCAGTCTTCTCAAGGAGGGGGATGTTCTGCATCGTCTTGAACGCAGTGTTCCCGGGCACAAACCGCCTGGCCGCAGGCCGCCGGTCCTTGAAGCACTTTGACTCCTTCACGACCAAGAAATATGTCTCCACCTGATATCTTCAAAAACGATTGACAGGAAACAGGATTAGGTTATTTTTTCATGGTTAAGGAATGACTTAACATCAGAACAGGCGCAGGGTCCAGCGAAGCATACTGGTTGCGGCCCTCGCCGTGGAGGAGTTTCAAGAGAACCTCCTCGTCCGGGCTCATAAGGAGCTCCTTGATCCCCGGCCTAGGCTTCAGGCTTTGCAACTTCTTCTTCATGTCCTTCGCCAACAGGTTATTGCGCCCGCTCAGGAACAGACCTGTGTCCAAGTCTCTCATGAGCTTGGCTGTGATATCGATCGCAGAACCCAGGCGCGCCTCGTCGGCGCTGGCCTTCATCCTGTAGATGGAGTTGCGCCCACTCGGTCCAGTGGTGGCATCCAGCCCTGCTTGCCACATGAATAACTTGGACGCCCCGTCCTTGGTGAGCGGGTGGCCCGTCAAGGAATCGACAAGGGTCGGGCTTGTCCACGTCAGCAGCAAGCAGTTCGAGGCCAAATACTCCTGGGCCATGTTGGCCATCAGGTCCTCATACTTCTCGTCGAAACTCTTTCGCAAAGCTGCTGCCTCATCTTCGGTGACGGGCTCCTCGGACTTGGAATCCGCTGGAGGAAGAGCATTGGCAACAGCGCCACCTTGCGCCATGGCCTCCCGGGCCTGCTCCTGCTGGTACATGTTCTCCAGTTCCGGCAGGAGATTCTTCACAAAAGCACAGCCAAGAGGACTACCGCCTCCCAACACAGCGCTGTGCCTCTTGTAGGTGAAGAGCGGGATCATAACCTGCGTCGTCAGCTTGTCCAACGACTCCTGTGCAAAGATGGGGTAGTCTTTGCCCATGACAACGGGACTTCCATCCTCCTTGGGGCATTGTCAGACTTAAACAGTAAATTATTGTCTTATCAAGTCGGTGCTATTTTGAGAAAAACTCTGACTTAAGTTTACTTCGGCTTATACTTTGCCGAGTGTCATACATCCCCTCCGGGAACTCCGCATGAAAGGCCTCAAGGGATCCGAAGGGCTTCAGCAAGTCAGCATACTTGGGGAAGCGCGGCAGCAGGGAAGCAGGGATCTTGGAGTAAAGTACCAGCCCCCTTGCCAGCTCCGCGATGCCCCGGCCAGTCAACTTTACGTTGTACCCTCGGAGGAGGAGCAGGTGCAAATTTTTGGAGGCCTCTCTGAGGTCTTCAAGATTTTGCAGAGCGGACTGAAAAGAATCAAAACTCCGGCAACTTTCCTGGAGCGCCACTTGCGTGGCCGTTCGGCCCCAGATCTCCTCGTTCTTGTCAAAGAAATAAAGAGCGCTGCCCTGGTACACTGGCGCCCCGGTGTCTACGACAGCCATTGACAAGCGACGCAAGATTCGCAAATGCAACCTAATCGTTGGCACCGTCATCGTCGAGTCGGTGCTGCCGAAGACGATCTTGTGCTGCTCCATGTAGCCAACAAGATTCATGGCAGCTGCACCACCGGTCTTTGAAAGGTGCTCCTCATAGCAAGGCTGGAAAAATTGCCATGGAGCAACTACATAAATATGCTTAATCCTTTGTTGGGGAAACGTCATGTCATGAGCACCTGGATGGAGTTCAACTCCCGCGCCCGGCTCAGGAGGCTGTGGCCGGCTATATTGGCGTTCTTCTCCTCATCCTCCCGGAGCTGGTAGGCCCTTGCAAGCTTCTCACTCTCATTGGCGCGAAGCTTCACGCTCATGAGCACGTGCAAGCTGGCCTTCTTGAACAGTGCCATCGCCCGCTTGTCGCTGGCCTCGGACACTTCCTTGTACTTCAGCAGCCATGCGAAGAAGATAATGTCCATATTCTCGCGCTCCAACTTGCCACAGTCGCTCTCAGCCAAAACTGGGCTGTACTTTGCGACCTGCAGCAACATGCCTGAAGGGGGAAACGCGTAGGTCTGGTCAGCACGCTCGCCATACCACTGGACCTTCGCGGCCTTGACCGCTGCAAAGAGCGGGTACACCGCAGGGATCGGCATCTTGTCCACATCAAGCGCCCAGAGTGGCACCTCCCTGGTAAAGTCACCCTTGATCTGCGTGATCTCCTCCCACCGCTGGGGGTCGTTTCTGGCGAAGTCTTTGCGCGCTAGCTGGAGCAGCTCACTTGACCACGAAGGGGTTTCCCGGGCCAAAGCTGGAGCGAGCTCTTCAGCCATGCTTACCACAGGCAGGGATAGAAGTCAGAATACGCTGACACTACACCACAGAGCATGAAGGTCCGGAATCTCCGTACTTCATGATTTGATACATGATGCTCCTGACTTGGCTTTTGAAAAATGGGATTATCTAAAGGCTTAAATTATTATTATTACGCTCTTGACATAAAAGATCCTGGCCTGGCCTACCAGGAGTAAAGTCCGTCCAAATCATTCTACTGCGGGGCAACCTACTGCCGCGCACCTGCGTGATCTGGGAAACATGGCAGCCGTGTATTTGAAGTAGCTCAAGTAAAACGAGCATGCGTGCAGTCTGTCATCAGTGCAGGCGCTGACTCTCTAATGACATAAACATGCCGCTGTCTAAGTGGCTGCTGAATGGCACTGCCCCGCTGCTTAAGTGGTTGCTGCAATGAAGCACTAATGAAGCCAGCTCCGCCGCATCTCCGAGGTTTGCGTGGCCTCGGCGGCCTCGGCAGGCACGGGTTACGCAGGGAAGACTTGAACAGCGGATTGGAACTGGTTTATGAAGAATCCCTAAAACTTGAGTATAAGAAAAACGACGGGCAGTTCTATAGTCCATCATCGTGACGCAAGGGCTTCGGACTATATCAGGCAGCCTGTAACACAGGGGGGTCAATCAGCAACATTTACTGCATCATCCGGCATCTGCCGCAAGCTCGCGTAAGACATTTTATTTTGGCCCTGCTGAAGGCCCAGCCTGTATAATGGTGTTCGGTTACATGCTAGTGGCTCCTTGTTTCGCTGAATTCTGTAATGACTGTAATGGTCTATAGCGCAGGGTCTAGGGTTTGGGGGTTTAGGGTTTTGGGGTTTAGGGTTTAGGGGCACAGGGGCGTCGGACTCCAAAGACTTGCGTCGGACACAGGGGCGTCGGACTC